GAAAGGGTATGGAGCAGAAAGCTCTGGCTGGATTCAAACTCCAGGTTTGCCCACTATTTTCCAGATGTGTTTATTGCTACATAAGTTATATTTATTTAAACTCACATGTCATTTTTTTTTTAATTGTCAGTGGGCATGTGCATTCACAGAGAGTGACAGAGAGAAAGAGGGAGAAAGCACCTATTAGTGGGACATGGTCACACATCCCTAGTGGGGCATGTCACACTGTGATTCCTTCTCTTCCATATTCCATCCTTTAGGGATTGTGGACACAATACGCATACATGCCTGGCATATTTTTCGAACCATTGGGGCTGAGAGTCAAACCATGGTCAGCCATGTGGGACCTGGCTCCCTTAACTAAGCTACAGGGCCTGCCCTTCCATGTCCTTATATTTAATGAGAAGAACAATAATATATACTTCAGAAGGTTAGGAAAAGAAACAAGAAGTATCAAATTAGCTAATCAATGTAAAGTACTTAGCATAATGCCAAACTCCTAATAACTAAACAATAAATGTTGGATACTCAGGGAAGCCAGTTTTCCCTTTAGGGAGCTAGAATTACAGCCTGATGCTAAAGAAATTGCTTTCAGGTGACTTTAATGAGATTTGAGGCCTGAACAGTACTAGTTGGGGGGCTAAGGGCATAAAATCAGATTAGAGCTTATGAGAGGAGTAATCTGTGGACTTCTGCTTGGAACACACTGAGGCTGAGGAGCTGTGGTGACGTTTGGCATCACATGGTTTTATATTTTTGCGAGCATCAGGGGAAAAGTAATATTTTCACGATGGCATTTGGGAAGCAAATGTCAAGGTAGATGGGAGAGAAGAATATGAGGAACTGGTCCTGAGCAGATGTGAGAAACCAAACGTTATTAGAAATGACTGGAATGATTTGGACAGGGAATGCTGGGCACCTCATTTCTATACCAACAGCAGATAGAGCTTGGTGGCATTTGCCTCATTCTACATAAATCGAGTAACATGTAAGGCAGAGTACACTGTGGGCAAATGAAGTAGCTATGAAGAAGGACACTGTGAAGGTCAGAGGTGGAAACGACTTGTGTGACTTAGCAGAGTTCTCCAACTTTTTTGGCATCAGGGGCTGGTTTTGTGGAAGACAGCTTTCCCACAGACTGGGGGTGGGTTGGCGGGATAGTTTCGAGATGATTCAAGAACATCACATTCACTGTGTACTAAATTTCTGTAATTATTACAACATACTATGTAATGAAATAATTATTCAATTCATTGTCATGCCGAGTCTGTGGAGCCCTGAGCTTGTTTTCATGCAACTACAAGGTCTCCTTGGGGGCTCCTATGAGAATCTGATGCCACCACTGCTCTGACAAGAGGCGGAGCTCAGGCAGCATGCTAGCAATGGGGAGCAGCTACAAATACAGATGAAGCTTTGCCTGCCCACTGCTGCCCACTTGCCCACTGTAGCTGGGTTTTTAACAGGCCATGGACTGGAACTAGTGCATGGTCCAGGGGCTGGGGACTTGGGGACTTCTGAGTTAGAGCATTCAAAGATCTGGAAGATCTACAGGTCCTTGCAGACTGGTGGAGGCAGAGCCCTGTATAGACAAAGCCCTAGCATGAGGTTTCAGCACAATCACTGAAATGCGAGGACGAGTGGTGTATAGCGGGAATAGTGGGAAAACGCGTCTAGGGTCACATTTAAATGGCTGAAAAATTCCCATTTGGTCCTGCAGGTGATGGGAAAGTAAAGAAAAAAAGATTTTGATTTAGGAAACCTAAACTGAAACTAGCGATTGATAAAGCTAACATGGCTTCATGTGTGGCACAGAATAGGAGAAATATGGGAACTGGTTAGAAGAATCTTTATAGATGAAGGGGAAGAACAATATATAATAATATAATATAATATAATATTGGCATAGCATTTTTCTAAAATGGCAATTACAGGGACAAAAAGAAAGTGTAATTAAGAGAAGTTTGGTTTTCTATTATTCTTCAATTTCCACTTGTAATATTCTCGAGATGACTTCTCCATGCCTCAGTGGATCTGGCTTGTCAGCCACTGCTTGCTTTTTTATCAGTTACACAAGCACTCTCCATAATACACTCAAATATCTAGTGTTACCATAATATAATCTCTTGCTCTCTCTCCTTTATACTTTCTTTTTCTAGGTCTAATTAAGATCTGTGCTTTGGAACTATAATTATATTTCTACAATTTTCTAAGGTATTTCAAACCCTGCATATTGATACATTTCTAAATAATAGTAGCTATAATAGAACACTGTCATATAAAAATATTGTTTTCCCTTATTCAAAGTCCCTGAAACAAAATTCTTTCAAATAGGTTGGTAAAGCAACTCAGTATTTTGCCTGCTTCTAACCCCATTAAATGTTGAAATATGGAGTGGGCTTACATCTTTCTGCCAGTATTCTAGTAGGAAAAAATTTCACTCAACTTAAGCAATGACTGGGTTTTTCAAGGACATTCTTATGCCTACAAATACTCACTTGAGCTCCTCAGTAAGATTCTCAGAAATAAACCATCATGACACAATAGGGTTTCCAGAAGCAGATTCCAATTACAACCTGGCTGGGATAAGAGCAGTTTCAATCGACCCTCGGCTCTCAGTCCTCCAGCTGATGGAGTCCTTTCAAAATACAAGATAAAGATGGAGTAATGAAGTTAACTTATCTATGAAATTAATAGCCTTAAAGTACAGATGTAATGCTAACTCCTGTAAATGTCAATTCCTCCCAGATTACTCTGAAAATGCTTTCATGCTTACTTACTTTAGGGTTGCTCAGGGAAGGAATTACATTTAATCTCAACTAGCTAAAAGCAAATTAACAGTTGGTAGACTGCCAAATTTAAAACTGATACAGAATAACCATGCCTATGTTTCATGGAACTATGTCTGTTTTTGTTTCATGGAGAAAAGAAAAATAATCACTTATGCATTTATTTTGAATACATTCATTTGTTTACTTGCCAAATACATAATAAGTGCCTACTATGTGCTATTAACTCCTTTCATTTTTCATGGAAAGATACTCCAATGGGTTTTGGCAACTTTGTCATTTTCTATGCACTATGATTATAGATAAAACTAAAGAATTTCAAAGCTTCTGTCAAGGGTCAACTGTAATATAATTATTTAATATATAAAGCCTTAAATCAACATGCAATTATCAGAACCTCTGCTAACACAGAGTCACGCCGCTCTCTACTCTGGTAATCATTTCATCAAAGAGACATAATTCTAAGGCTAATGAGCTTCTACTTGCAATTTTCTCACTGGCATTGAACAAATCCCCCATATCACTTCTCTCATTTACCAATAAATAGCTGGAGATCAGAGAGCAAAGTAGTAATCGAACGCTGGTAACATTACCCACTTTTTCCTTCTAAAAATCTCAAAATTAATATTGGCTAAAGGTCATAACATGGGAAACTAGCATTTAACAACAACAAAAGTAGGAAATGGTCACACTCAATCTGGTGGTGGCCATAAGGACTGTAGGAATAGGGTGACATTGGGAAGGAAAGGTATGATTGAGCAGCACTGAGGTTTGAATGAAAGGACCATATGCTTCAAAGTAGGAAAAACAAAATCACAGAGCAAAGGGTATTACTGTGAAAGACAACCTGCAGCGTTATCATTAGAAGATGCAATTTACTGAGTGGTGAACCATCAGTTAGCAACATAATCCAGACCATAAATTTCTGTAATTATTACAACATACTATGTAATGAAATAATTATTCAATTCATTGTCATGCCGAGTCTGTGGAGCCCTGAGCTTGTTTTCATGCAACTACAAGGTCTCCTTGGGGGCTCCTATGAGAATCTGATGCCACCACTGCTCTGACAGGAGGCAGAGCTCAGGCAGCATGCTAGCAATGGGGAGCAGCTACAAATACAGATGAAGCTTTGCTTGCCCACTGCTGCCCACTTGCCCACTGTAGCTGGGTTTTTAACAGGCCATGGACTGGAACTAGTGCATGGTCCAGGGGCTGGGGACTTGGGGACTTCTGAGTTAGAGCATTCAAAGATCTGGAAGATCTACAGGTCCTTGCAGACTGGTGGAGGCAGAGCCCTGTATAGACAAAGCCCTAGCATGAGGTTTCAGCACAATCACTGAAATGCGAGGACGAGTGGTGTATAGCGGGAATAGTGGGAAAACGCGTCTAGGGTCACATTTAAATGGCTGAAAAATTCCCATTTGGTCCTGCAGGTGATGGGAAAGTAAAGAAAAAAAGATTTTGATTTAGGAAACCTAAACTGAAACTAGCGATTGATAAAGCTAACATGGCTTCATGTGTGGCACAGAATAGGAGAAATATGGGAACTGGTTAGAAGAATCTTTATAGATGAAGGGGAAGAACAATATATAATAATATAATATAATATAATATTGGCATAGCATTTTTCTAAAATGGCAATTACAGGGACAAAAAGAAAGTGTAATTAAGAGAAGTTTGGTTTTCTATTATTCTTCAATTTCCACTTGTAATATTCTCGAGATGACTTCTCCATGCCTCAGTGGATCTGGCTTGTCAGCCACTGCTTGCTTTTTTATCAGTTACACAAGCACTCTCCATAATACACTCAAATATCTAGTGTTACCATAATATAATCTCTTGCTCTCTCTCCTTTATACTTTCTTTTTCTAGGTCTAATTAAGATCTGTGCTTTGGAACTATAATTATATTTCTACAATTTTCTAAGGTATTTCAAACCCTGCATATTGATACATTTCTAAATAATAGTAGCTATAATAGAACACTGTCATATAAAAATATTGTTTTCCCTTATTCAAAGTCCCTGAAACAAAATTCTTTCAAATAGGTTGGTAAAGCAACTCAGTATTTTGCCTGCTTCTAACCCCATTAAATGTTGAAATATGGAGTGGGCTTACATCTTTCTGCCAGTATTCTAGTAGGAAAAAATTTCACTCAACTTAAGCAATGACTGGGTTTTTCAAGGACATTCTTATGCCTACAAATACTCACTTGAGCTCCTCAGTAAGATTCTCAGAAATAAACCATCATGACACAATAGGGTTTCCAGAAGCAGATTCCAATTACAACCTGGCTGGGATAAGAGCAGTTTCAATCGACCCTCGGCTCTCAGTCCTCCAGCTGATGGAGTCCTTTCAAAATACAAGATAAAGATGGAGTAATGAAGTTAACTTATCTATGAAATTAATAGCCTTAAAGTACAGATGTAATGCTAACTCCTGTAAATGTCAATTCCTCCCAGATTACTCTGAAAATGCTTTCATGCTTACTTACTTTAGGGTTGCTCAGGGAAGGAATTACATTTAATCTCAACTAGCTAAAAGCAAATTAACAGTTGGTAGACTGCCAAATTTAAAACTGATACAGAATAACCATGCCTATGTTTCATGGAACTATGTCTGTTTTTGTTTCATGGAGAAAAGAAAAATAATCACTTATGCATTTATTTTGAATACATTCATTTGTTTACTTGCCAAATACATAATAAGTGCCTACTATGTGCTATTAACTCCTTTCATTTTTCATGGAAAGATACTCCAATGGGTTTTGGCAACTTTGTCATTTTCTATGCACTATGATTATAGATAAAACTAAAGAATTTCAAAGCTTCTGTCAAGGGTCAACTGTAATATAATTATTTAATATATAAAGCCTTAAATCAACATGCAATTATCAGAACCTCTGCTAACACAGAGTCACGCCGCTCTCTACTCTGGTAATCATTTCATCAAAGAGACATAATTCTAAGGCTAATGAGCTTCTACTTGCAATTTTCTCACTGGCATTGAACAAATCCCCCATATCACTTCTCTCATTTACCAATAAATAGCTGGAGATCAGAGAGCAAAGTAGTAATCGAACGCTGGTAACATTACCCACTTTTTCCTTCTAAAAATCTCAAAATTAATATTGGCTAAAGGTCATAACATGGGAAACTAGCATTTAACAACAACAAAAGTAGGAAATGGTCAAACTCAATCTGGTGGTGGCCATAAGGACTGTAGGAATAGGGTGACATTGGGAAGGAAAGGTATGATTGAGCAGCACTGAGGTTTGAATGAAAGGACCATATGCTTCAAAGTAGGAAAAACAAAATCACAGAGCAAAGGGTATTACTGTGAAAGACAACCTGCAGCGTTATCATTAGAAGATGCAATTTACTGAGTGGTGAACCATCAGTTAGCAACATAATCCAGACCAGTGATTTTCAAAGCTTGGATTCCAGATCACCAGAATCACCATCACTTAAGAACTTGCTAAAAATGCAACTCTCAAGTCTCATCCTATCAGAATTTCTTGGTGGACCTCAGAAATCTGTATTTTAATAAACTCTTTCCAGAAAATTCTGAAGTATGCTGAAGTTTGAGAACTACTCCTGTAAGGCAATGGGTTCTAAAACACAAGTAGTAGATTTGGGACCAGATGGCAGTAACTTTCCTGTTTCTGTGCTTTATATCTATATGGGTTGGTCTTGGCCGCCATCTGCAATGGACTGAAGGTGTCCCCTCAAATTCCCTTTGTTGAAACTCTGATTCCCATCTTCCAAAGATAGGGTCTTTGGAAGATAATTGGGTCATAAGGATGGAGCCTCCATGAATGAGATTAGTGGTGTTATAAGAATGAGTCAGATAGGTAACTCAACCTCTTTCTGCCATGAGCAGATGGGTAGTGAGCTATCAGCAATCTAGAAGAAGGCCCTCACCAGAACCCAACTGTGCTAACCCAACCTTCACTGTGGACTTCAAGACTCCACAACTATAAGAAATAAATATTATTTAAACCATCTGTCTTCAATATACTGTTACAGCAACCACAGTTGATCAAGAAACCATGTATGCAATGAACTTCCTATAATCCTTTACCTTGATCTTAATCCTACCCTTCCTTTAATTTGCAGCAAAAATCCTACTTTCTCTGTAAAGTCTGCTAAAAATTTCCCTTCACAATGGTCTCTCACTCTAAATTAAAGCACTTATAGCAAGTATACACATTTAGCCCTCTATTATTTAATCAATTAAAGTTTGATCTCTCCATACAGATTTAAGTCTCGTGAGGACACTTTTTATATCCTCAAAGCTCCTACAGTGAACTAAGCACATTTAAAGGCTCTATAAATGTTAGCTGATTAACTTGTCTGCTCATAAATAAGTAGGTAAACTCTTAAAGAAAAAGACTGATTTAAGCAAAAGTGAGACTTCAAAGATACAAAATGAAGTTTTAGTACTCCCATACACCAGGCTTAGTCTGGTGCTTGAAACATCTCATAACCTTGTGATGCACAAAATCTTTCGGCCTGCACTTGTACTTCGGAAAAACTCAGGCTCAAAGATAGATGAAATTCTGATAACTCCAAACAGAATAATTCCCTAAGCAGTTGAAGGAAACCCTTGCCCTGCATAAGTGATGAAGAGGCAAATGGGGACGTACTTAAGTTTTCAGGCTAGAGGAATCAGGTTCACCAGTTCTGACACCCTAGGGGCTCTAAATTACCTTCCTAGGTTGATTTGACTTTTGTAGTAATTCCAAACATGGAACCAAAGGTGGAATCCAGTAGGTGAGTCTGTTGGACTAAAAAACTGAAGCAGATCCTCAAGTGGCCATCCCTAATTCCATCCTAAGTCCCAAGCACTGATTTCTGCAAACTCTACTGATGTTTGGTAGGTAAAAAGCAGCTAGTTAGTTGTAAGGCGTGTCTTAATATTGGCTTGTTTTTTTTACTATTTCCTATCTAGATATTATGATTCAGTTGAGTGTTCATTTAAGTATACATCTGATGAACTGAAAGATCCAGTTTGGCTAGAATGTAGATGGGGCGATGGGGAGTGGAAGGAGGTGCCATTGACAGACAGTCCGAAGAAAGAGACAAGAGCCAGATCAAGGAGGGTCTCTCTATCCCAACGTGGGGATTTTGGACCCATTGAAGAGTTTAAAGCAGGAATTTCCTAATATGGTTGCAATGTGGGGGATGGAGGAGGCAGTTACTGTTTCTGCTCAGGCTTTTAGTCATGCAATAAAACAAAATAATTTGAATGTCATTTTATACCACTGTATCTAAATACCTGGTTATAAATAAAATCTCTCATTTACCAGATGGGAAGCTGTTTGTTGAAATGTACCTCAGTTCTTGGATCTTTCAACTTATCACAGATTTTGAAATGTACAGTAGAATGACTCACTATGCGGAAAAATAAAATAGTACAAACATTCTTCAATCACCAAGCTCTGAGTAATAAATGCATTGAGGAGTCTGTTTTGGGCATATGGGGAAGCATATGTTCGCTCATCCTTTGAGCTGGTGGAGCTGTGAAAGTGAGATTAGCCTCACAAAAAATGACAAGAAGGAAAATTATATATATATATGTATGTATCAAATATGTACATGTTGAATTTCACTATAATATAAAGAACAGAACAAAAATTAATTAATCCTGTATAATTTAAAAACCTTACATTAGGAGACATGATAAATTTATGACTGGGTTATATCAGATTTATACTCGAATAAATGCTATGTTGGGGGACATAAGTTGACCCAAAGAATTTTTGAAATTCACGTAGTAATAGGTTCAGTGATTACTGGCTTATGAGACTAACAGATTACTTTTATAGAATCATTGTATTCTGATGTATTCATGAAAACTCATCACTTAGAATGTCTGCAATTGTTTGGTATATACTCATACTGCAATAGGAAGTTGAAAAACAACAACAACAAAAAATTTACCCATATAATGCACACTGTCCTGACTTCCAACATGATTATAAGGCCCAGGCCAAGAAAAGTCTCCAAAATAGGATCAGATGCACTATGAGAGCCTTCCTGCTCAGCCCACATGACTATGGGAGTCATCGATTTTATTATATATGTATCACGCAGAAGTTTCCAGACTAGTAGAATACGTGAATGGACTCTGAAATGCACAGCTCAGGGATGATACTCAGCAGTGTGGGGGTACTGTCCCTCAAGATTTTCTATTTACTTTGAGCTAACAGACATTATATGATACTGTGGCCTCAAGAGATAAATGACATGGGTATAGGGAGGGGCCAAGGGGAGAAAGTAGGAGAGGCCCCTCTTTCCAAAGTTCCTGATGATCCCCTTGGAAAATGTTTGCTTTCCATCTCCATAAGTCTTCATAGGCTCTGTGGGAGTAGAGGACTTATTACCATGGTAGGGTGTGATGGAGCATGCATAGCTCTACCAGGGGACAATTTAAGAGTTCCACAAATTTAAAGTTAGAGCTGTCATCTGGTCATTGTTGCCTTCCCATACCAGTAGTCTATTAGGCAAAGAAAGGAGATACTATACTGGCAAGGGGTGATTACCCTAATTATCAAGAAGAACTAGGACTGTTGCTGCCTAAGGGGAGCAGGAAGAAGTATCTGTAATTCACGGGATTCCCCAGGGCATCTCTTAATACTGTCATGATTGATATTAACAAAAGTTTGATAAGGGAATATTAACCAGGGCTCAATCTTTTGACCATGAGGTTTCAGGGATTCCACTGGGCAAGCAATGTAAACCAGCAGATACAGTGGCTGATGATGATGGGAAAATGAAATAGAAGTAAAGGAATGTTATAATGAATACCACTTACGAATTCAAGAAAAATTGCTGTGGCAGGTATTCTAGTTTGTCCTGCTAATTCTATTGTAATTAAACATTTAAAAAAATGTATGTGTGACTAGTTGTCACGTCAAAGAATCAATAATAGGACTTAGAGAATCCAAGTCGGAACATAAACAAATATCAGTGATACAAGAGGTAGACCATAGATGTCAGTGGCCCCACATCCTTTTTGCCCTTACCTCTCAGTTCACAATTTCATTTCCATACCTTTCTGAAATACAGTCTGTAGGGGCCAGAGAATTCACATCCCCAGAGCAACTCTCAACCAATGACTGATGGGAGTTGGTGTACAAATACCCAACATCCTTGGTCCTCTAGTGGGATAACTCTGTAATGCATATTTGGTTCTCAGAATTTCCTCAGAAGATTTAAAATCTCATCATTTCTATGTTTGTGGCTTGATTACACAAATATTTATTGTTATCTTTCTGTCTTTGTCTCACCCTCTCCAGTGTTTCCCCCACTTAAACTATTTTCATTTGGATCCTGTTCCAAGGTCTG